AGATAACCCGTCTCATTGTCCCTCAGTGTTTCCCTCCTGCAGTTATTCTGACTCCACTGAGTCCAGGCATGAAGTTGCTTTGAGCTGCATCTTGGAAAAACGTGATTTTGTTTTAATTTGTGGTCCCAGATTTGGAGGGGGGGGGGGGGGGGGGCTGAAAGAATTCCAGTGCAGGCAGATTACGAGCTATGGGGCCAGTCTAATTCTTGCAGCAGTGATTAGGCTGAGGGTGTAATTATCTGGACTCATTAGAGCAGCTTCCAGCACAGCGGTGTGTGTGTGTGTGTGTGTAATGTATGTGTGTAGCTCTGCATATGGAATAGTCTTTCTGTGTCAGTGTTACACCGCCGCAGCAATAACTGCAACCCACCCACACACTTTCTCTTTCATACACACACACGCACACACACACACACGCACACACACACACACAGCTGGCCCACTTCTGCTGCTTCCACATGAGTCGCATCGCTCCGCTCTGTTCATGAGCCTATGGCGGCTCAGGAGGGACATGTTCCTTATGACTTCAAAGGCAGCGGGATCCTTCCTGGGCAGAAGCTAATTTTAGTGTCTCTATAATGTAGGTCAAGTGAATATCTATGAGATGGAGAGAAAAAACGTTTACGCTGCAAGCTGGAAATGACGTTGACGACAGCGGTGGGAGGAAAAGAAAGATCCCTGTGGTGGGATAAATAGAAAGCTGCAGAAAGAATGGTTTCTCTCGAATAAAAAAATATATTTTTTTATCCATATAATAATGTGATCAGATGCCATAAGAGAGTGTGACAGACCAAAAGACACCAGGAAAGACAGAATTGTGCTTAATTAATGGATGAATTAATGGATTATAATATATTAAGCTGTTTTAATCAGTTTTCTCAATGGATTTAATGGATTAAAATCCAGTTAATGAATTATCACACTAATATTACATTATTTACATTATTATTCATGATAAGCAATGATGTTTAAAAGCAATAAAGTAAGAGATTTCTCAGTCTCATGCAAATGACATAAGTAGAAACATCATACAGATTCAGATTTTCAACTGAAAATAATTAGTGCTAATTAATTAATGCTAAAATCATATACATTACGTGTTAAATGTTTGTTTAGCATTAAGCTAACAGCTGCCCAGATGTTCATCCATGATTTGTAGAGATAAATTTAGACCTGAAGGTTTGGAAATTGTGGAAATTTTGAGCAGTTTGCTAGCTCGTTAGCATAGCTAAATAAAATGTAGATAACGAGACTGCGGAGGTTATTGACAGTCAAATCATTATAAACCATTAGGAAACAATAATAAATATACAGCAGTAACAACCGTTAGAGACCATGTGTTGTTTTATTTATATTGGATTATTTTAAAAGATTTAAAATTCTTCAAAAGTAAAACGTCAAGATATTATTGATCCAAATCAACCTTACACTCATATTTATGTGGAACTCTAAATGTGATGATGAAGATGTTGGAGGCAGAGATGAGGGGGACAATAATGACTGTGATGTCAGTGATGATGAAGATGAAGATGATGATAGCTGACACTTGTTAGCCTCCTGCCTCAGGCGTTTCATATTCTGTAGATGACGAATTGTGAATGGCAACACAACTGACACAACAGCCAGTTAGCATTAAAGCGCTAACGCTAAAGAATGCACGTACAATACTGTTATGCTAACTGTCTGATACACAGACTGGGACATGCTAACACCAACAGTTTTTTTAGGCTAAACATTTAATTGTAGCAGCCATTAAACCTTGGACTTTTAGCCACAGTTCACTTTTAGTTCAAATGTTAAAAGTTGCTAACAGATGATGTGTTACATAATTTATCAAATTTAAGCCTCTGTGCTTCATTTTTTTTCAGATCTCCACATTGTTTTTAGCTGCATTTAAGCTCAAATAGGTGTTATGTAAGTCTAAGATCTGTGCGTCACTAGAGTTTTAACGGATGCTAATTGATGTTGCTAGATTAAGTCTACATTTACGTAATATGATATGGCTTTTTTTTTGTTTTTGATTTTGTAACCAAACACATTATCAGACATTTTATTTTTAATGTCTTTCCAGTTCCACCTCTTCTAAATGCTCACTGCCACTAATGTTGTTTTTTTTGTTGTATTTAAAGGTAATTAACATTAAATATTTATAAAATGCATACATTTTTATAATAAACTATTTTATTAAAGGTTCAAAGCCAATAAGATTATTCTTAGTGTAGCATTTTAGGAACAGTGAAAAAAAGTTTTTACCAGGTTAAAAACACAATCTGCTAATATTACATAATCGCATATTTAACATTTAATTTCTTTACAGTTTCCTGGAAAGACTCGTGTAGTTTGTTTCAAATTACAGGAAAAACAGAAACAAAATTCTGACACTGTTATTTTAGTGAGATTAGTTTGTTGAGTTTATTATTGACTTCCGGTGAAATTGATAGAAATTTCTCTATTTAAAGCACAGTGATCATTTATTACTTGTTCATTTATTATTAGAAACTTTATTCTTCATACATGGTGAAAAACATTTTGCGTCTGTAGTTGCGTCTGCGAAGCTTCTTAAGAGACTATTAGGAAATAAATTGGAATTGAAGAACCTGTAAAATAAAGTGTTACGAACAACATACTTTTATTATATTTTTACATTTATTTATTTCTTGTTACCACATGAATCCCATGTAACTTCTTCGGTTTAAATATTATTAGGTGCCAGCTAAAAGAAACAATATATTTTCTCACATTTTAAACAGATTTCGTGCTTTTTGAGTAACTTAAATGTAAATCTTTATATGTCATCTGAATTTCATCATCTATAATATCTATATAATATATAATAATGTAATGTAATACCTATAATATCTATGTAATCTTTAATCACAGTCATCTATGTTTAGTTTAATATCATCATTGATTTGTGTAATTTATTATTTATTGTTTCTACATTGTGATACCTTGACAAGTCACGGCTCTTAATGCCAACGCTCCATGTGTCAAACTGATGATGCAATGCATTCATTTTAATCTTCTGTTAGGCGCTAACCAAAACACAGGCCGGTCATTATGAAGCTGTTTATGAGCTTATGCTGTAGGCTTCCCTGCTGCTTTGAGAATTTAGGTCTGCAGTGTGTTTTTGTGTGTATGTGTGTGTGTGTGCGCACGTGTGTGTGTGTGTGCATGCGCGTGTGTGTGCGCGCGTGTGTGTGTGTGCGTGTGTGTACTTCAGCGGGTTTTTGCGGGGTGCTGATAAGGAGATTGGCTGGTAATCTCCTCTTCCTCGTCTTCCCCATCATTTTCGTTTCCTTCTGCCCTTTCGCTCGTTCACAATATGGGTCTTCGTGTGTGAGAGTGTGTGTGTGTGTGTGTGTGTGTTTGTTTGTGTTTGTGTTTAAGCTGACTGGCTAAAGTGGAGCACCTCCACTAGGGTGCAGACGCTCATGTGAAGTGACTGGAAAGATTCCCTAAAACTGACCACATAGAGAGAGAGAGAGAGAGAGAGAGAGAGGGAGAGAGGGAGGAGGAGGAGGGAGAGAGACAGCGGGTGAAGTAGTGAGAGTGAGATGAGGACAAAACAAGGAGGAAAAACAAATCAGATGAAAGAATTGGAAAGACGAGAAGACTGTGTTGCACGGAGCGAAATGGGAATGGAGAGACGGCGAGGAGGAGGCGAGAGAGCTTGAAATAAAGGGATCAGTGCCTCTGCATGTAAGTTGGCACAGCAACGATGCCCCTCCCCCACCCCATCCATCTCTACCCTTCCCTCTCTCTTCCTCTCCCCTCATTCCCTCTGTCTCGCTCGGCCAGGGAGGATGTGACAGCACAAGGTAGCACCTTTCACTTCCATCTGTCAGTGAATCAGTCAGTCAGTGTGTGGAGGTGAAAAACCAGACGGTCAGCTTCTAACCAGACGATCAGTCAGTAGATTCTCTGTTTACTCAGCGACTAAATCTGGCTCTCAGTCGGTCGATAACTAGATTAGTCAAAATACAGCTCAGCCAGTCAGAGCGTAAACAGACAGTCAGACAGTCGGTTGCTCAGTGTTTCTGCTTGATTCTCGTGCTGTTTATTTCTACTTCTGTTTCTACTTCTGCTCTTTTATTTTGTGCTTGCAGATCTTGTGTTAGTGTCTGCGCTCTGCTCTGCTGAAATCGAGGCTTCTTCTGCTCCTCCACCCGTCCTCCACTGCTTCACCTCTTACAGGCGGTTATCTTAATTTTGTTGGAGGTTGACAAACTGAAAGAGATAAGTTGTGCGTTTGGTTGTGGAAAAGAAAACAGACGGCACTTTCTTCACATCTCCATCCGAGAAACATACCCTCCAGTTAGTTTGGCTATTTGGCAATTTTCTGGATAATCCTCCAGAGGGACAATAACTGTCTACAAACATGTAGCACCAGAGCGTTAATCCAGACTCCTACAGCCACAGTGATATGAGATAAGAGACGATGATGATGATGATGAAGAGGATGAGGAGGAGAGGCTGGCTTTGCGCTGCCAACCAGACGTGTGTGATAGCTCCTCACAGTTTGCGATCCTGGGGCAGTTCACCTCTGTCTTGTCTGGACTAACCTGCACTGCTGCTCATCTTCTTTCACCCAGTGTGGAATCTATTAGCTGCTGGAAGAAGAAGAAGAAGAAGAAGAAGCAGAAGTCTAATTAAGCAGAAACACATAAAACTCTGCTGATTAAAAAAAAAAAACACTGGGATTTTCTGGAGTTGTTTTTTTTTTTTTTTTTTAAATACCTGATTTTGAATTTTATTTGATGTAAAAACACAGACACAGAAGCGTCGACTGTGACAAAAGTAAAGATGAATTCCTGTTGGAGGAATCAGGTGAGAGGACAAGAGGGTTTTAATCAGGACGTGTGTCCTTAATACGGACAGAGGGATAATGAGTGTGGAAGGAATGTGTCTGTGCTGTTGGTTTGTGTTGACTGAGCTGTGTGTAGTTTCTGTTGTCATCATCACTGTGTGTGTGTGTGTGTGTGTGTGTGTGCGTGCAGGAGGAGCAGGCTGCCAAGCTGAAGGCAGAGAATATCCGAGTCGCCCTGGAGAAGATCAAGGAGGCCCAGGTGAAGAAGGTGAGTCTGGTTCACACACACACACACACACACACACACACACACACACACATACACATAAGGAACAAAGAAAGAACATTAAAGAAATATGTGTTGTGTATATTTGCGCGCGTGTGTGTGTGTGTGTGGCTGTGTGTGTGTGTGTGTGTATATGAGAGTGCACAGGATGTGTGTTGGTCCATGTGCATGTGAGTCCGAGACTGGCACGTGTCCAGCGGACTCAGTTTTCTGGGTCAGGTCAGTGTTACTCCACATTGGTCAATAACAGCTGGGGTCAACACACACATGCACATACACTATATATATATATATATATATACACACAAACACACACACACACACACACACACAGACACACACACACACACACACACACACACACAGAGCACTCAACATAATGACTATAGAGAGTTAAATCCCAATCCCACAGAGAGAGACTGGATTGGCAATCTGGATTTACTACACACACAGACAGGACTCCAGATACCTGTGTGTGTGTGTGTGTGTGTGTGTGTGTGTGTGTGTGTGTGTGTGTGTGCGTGTGTGTGTGTGTGTGTGTGTGTGTGTGTGTGTGTGTGTGTGCGTGTGCGTGTCTGTGTCTGTGTGTGTGTGTGTGCGTGTGCGTGTGTGTGTGTAAAAAAGTGACAGTGGATCTTCCTGCACTAAAGCAACGTAACTTAAGGGATGAAACATAAGAACATGGTTTCATGGCGCTGTGGCAGAAATATTTTCTGGTATGTTTTTAATATCACGGACCAAATGATGCATGTGATTAAAAACACACATTTCTCACTAATTTCTCACTAATAACATAATATTTATAATATACAGAATGACACACACTGGATATATAAAACATATTTTTATTAAAACATTCAGCATAATTACTTAGAAAACCAGTGCATAATAAATACATATATATATTAAAAGTACAATTTAAGTTTTTTTTATTGGTATTTATTTGTATTTTTTTTTTGGAAGACATAAAGCACAGTCTAAATTAACTAAATATATAAATATATCTGTACCAGGCCTTTAAACTGCAGGTAACCATAGCAACAACACTTAGTTTCATGCTAAGTCACCATGCTATAGTGATTTAGTGATGTTATATAACAGTGGGTTAACTGTGTGGATCCATACATGCACGCCGTGAGATACTAACGGCATGCGTCCTGATGGTTAACTCCTTCACTCATCTTTACTGGGACACATCATTATGACTGTACAGCTGAAAGAAACACGATCGTCCTCTGATGAATCTGGAGTCAGTTTCTCTCTGAATAAGTGAAAGTAAAGCTGAGTAAATATTTAATGCTCTGGAAGCTGAGAGCTTTCCCTCGCTGAGCTCAGAGGCAGCTCCAGATCATTTAATGAGAAAACAACAAACTGCTGAACTTGATTATCGTGAATGTAAAAGAACGTCTCTCTCTCTCTTTCCTTCATAGTTGGTGATTCGTGTTCATCTGTCGGACGAGAGCTCCAAGACCATGATGGTGGACGAGAGACAGACGGTCAGACAGGTACGACCCTCATGACACCTGTGTTATCATTAGCTGTATTATCAGAGGGAGGAGTACTAGTCATGTTGTTAGTAGTACATCCAGAAGCATAAGCAGTAGTAGTACTAGTATCATTATCAGTAGTAGTACTAGTATCATTATCAGTAGTAGTACTAGTATCATTACTGTCTCCTGTTCTTCAGGTTCTGGACAGTTTGCTGGAGAAATCTCACTGTGGCTACAGTCCAGACTGGTCACTGGTGGAAACCATCAATGAGCTGCAGATGGGTGAGCACACACACACACACACATTATTGATCTCCAGAGCTGAACTTTCAGCTCAAGAAGAGAAACGAGAATAGAAATAAAAACAGAAACCACAGAAGAACAAATACAGACAGAAGTATAATAGTGTTGTACGGCCCCATGGGAAATTACATAATCACAGTACATGCAGGAGTTATATAATACTGGAGGCGCAATGAGTGGCAGATTAATCAATTGTCGGAAAATGAATCAGTTACTATTCTGATAATCAATTAGTTGTTTCAGTCATTTTGGCAAAAAGACAAATATTCTCTGGTTTCAGCTTCTTAAATGTGAGGATTTCTCTGTTGTATATGACAGTAAATGGAAAGAAAAGAATAGTAGAATAGAACTATAATATAGTTTTATATTGTAATCAAACATAGTATATTAATATATTAACTACAACATATTCACATGATATAATATAGTATGGAATATAAAGTATAGATAGATGTAGATAGACAGATAGATAGATAGTATATAAGTGGGACAGTGAGCAAAGGTTAATGTAAGGCAGGTAAAATATTTCACATGATTAAATTAATAATAATAAATTAATAAACATAATTTTAATAACATGTAATAATGTAAAACTTAAAACGCTAACTGTCCAAAGGACTGTGTTGGACTTTTATTTTGGAAATGCTGCTGTGACTTTTGTGTTTCCATTGCTGAATGCTTTATGTTTTGACATTGTTACCATAGCAACAGATTGAAGTAATTTCTAATGGCTTTATACGCTGAGCCACTGAAGCCTTTTGAGTGACACTGATTCAGCAAACAAGTAATTAGAGTCAAACTTATGGTGCAGCCCATCCCAGATATATCCAGGTGTGTCAGTGTGTGAGGGGGCGGGGCCTTTTATTCGGTCCGTTTTACTTGTGTTCAGCAGTGACTGTCAGACTGAACAGATATTCAGCAACACACACACACACACACACCTCCCCTCGGGGGCTGGGGTGAGACGTGTGTTTGCCAGCACACACTGTACTACGAGCTTCAGCTCCACTTAACGCTCTGTGACATGCACACACACACACACACACACACACACAGTCTTTATGTGGGTCCGGCGCAGTGATGCGTGTGATCTAACCTACATCTTCAGGGCTTCTGCTGAACAGCCAGTCAGCATCGTTATGGAAGAGAGAGAGGAGGTAAAGTGAAGCTCGTTCTACCTCGTTCACTTCAGCCGAACCTGAACCTTCAGTCACTGACACGAACCTACTCTGTGTGAGTTTCTAAAACCTGGACTGAGGACCAGGATTCAGCCTGAGGGACATTTAAATCAGCCCCTGTGTTCATTAAGGGAATGAAGGGAACCACTGGTGTCTGTAGCTGGGGGGACGGGGGGGGACGGGGGGGGACGGGACCCTGTGACAGCCCCCACCTCCCCTCTACACATACAGACACACCAGCATCACCAGCACCCTGCTGAGTGCCCTGTGGCGAGGGATGACTTCCTGTCGGATCATGACCTCTGACCTGCCACTGGTTACCCTGCAGGAAATAAACTAGTGGCACGTCCTGATTATGATCAGAAGAAAAACAATTATTATTATTTTCAGTAGGAGTAGTAGTGGTAGTATTTCTTCTTCGTGATTACTGAGTTATTAAACATGTCGGGCAGCAACTAGCTTAATATTATTTATTATCAATTAATCCTTTTGCCTAAAAAATGTCAGAAAATGCTGATAAGTGCTGTGGATAATTTCCCACAATGCATAGTGATGCCTTCAGGCGCCTTGATACAGTCGAGAACACAAAAATGTTCAGTTTTACGGTCATGTGATACAGAAAATCATCAAATCGTCACATTTGAGAAGCTGGAACCAGCAAAGTTGCTTAAAAAAAAAACTCTTATAAAATGATCAGAATAATGAACTTATTGTTGCAGCTTTATAAACCTGTTCAAGTCTTATTTCCTGCAGTCGAAGACGGACAGGAAGTTTTAGCTTTTTATGGCTCATCCATCTCTCAGGCTGATGTTTAAAATGTGTGAGAAATGATGACACACTGTAACTGACATGAGCTTAATTATCAGGGATTTGGATCTTAATTACAAAACTTTATAACGTCCTTAAATGATCAAAAATAAAAACTACTTAGTGCTGCTGTCGTGCTGTGAAGAGCTACATGACTACTTTAGATACTGGGCAGAATAACCGGTTGTCTGTCGTTACCTCGGCTAACTCACTGATTAATACATTCATGCATTTTCATGAGATGCTGATAAAGTTATAATCAGTAACTTTTGGGTCAGTGAAACTACAGAAAGGATGAAAGAGGAATCTAACGACCAGCTGACATACATGTCAACAACAACATGTCATGTACTGAAGGAATAAAGCACAACAGTAAATGTGTGTAAATGCTGACATGTAGTACAAAGTCAATATTGTCAGGATGAGCTCTGTGCACTCACACAGGTTCTGACTCAGTCTGTCCCCTAATAAAAGAAAATAAAAAAGACACAACACGGTCGTCCACAGATTGAATGTGGGTCACAGCTGACGTGGTTTTGTCCGTTTCAGTCCTCGGAGGAAAACATGTGAAAGCCAGTGAAAAGCAGCCGGGGCTGAGACACTGAGCTCAAAAGAGAGAGAGAGAAGGAATGAGGACAGCAGATTGCCACGAGCCATGTCGTTGCTTCTATAGAGCAGCGAGGAGAGCGGGGTTATGAGGTCCCTGAAGTAACACTCCTCTCCATTTTCCAATTTTTACAAGAAATTCACTTTAGGATTTTTGGATGATTTCAGCGGCTGGTGCAGCGTTTTGTTGCCTCGTGACGAGAGACGTCATAGCAGCTGCTGTTGGTGCTCATGGTATTTAATGTACCATAATGTATTTAATATCAGTCCTGAGAAGACAAATTGTTTTTTGTCATTTTAAAAAAAACCTTCAAATAAGGTTTTATAGTTAGTAGAATACTTGCTGTATCCGTTTATTTCTTCTATTGAAATATAAAATCTAGTGAGGCCCGAGTCTGGAGGTGCACACACATGAAAATATCAGATGTCTTCAAAGTAAAAACAGATATTTGTGGATTAAAAATCTTGTGTTTGCTGCGTAATTTGACATTGACAGAGTTGATGCAAAAACAAGATACAAGACTGTTTTTTTTAAATAAAAAGGTTTTAAATCCTTTTAGGTAGAATGAAGATGAACATGACAGCAGTGTTTACATCCAAAGTAAAAACACTAAACCGATTCCTTCAGATTTTCTTAATTTGGCTTGAATGAACTGAAAATCAAAGTAAAATATCTGGTTCCCCCTGCGCAGAGCGGATCTTCGAGGATCATGAGAACCTGGTGGAGAACCTGCTGAACTGGACCAGAGACAGTCAGAACCGCCTGATGTTCACTGAACGCATCGAGAAGTACGCCCTGTTCAAAAACCCCCAGGTGAGATGAACACACACACATGAACACACGCGATGGTTCACACAGGTGTGTTTTCATGTTGCTAACCTGCGACCTCGTCTTGTCTCTCGTTTCTCGTTCCTGCTTCCCGTCCGCTGCAGAACTATTTGTTGGGGCGGAAGGAGACGTGCGAGATGGCCGAAAGAAACAAAGAGGCTCTGTTAGAGGTCAGTGTGTTTTCTCCTCCTTTGCTTCCTCAAATGCATCTTCACCCAGAAATTTTCAGTCGTGCGAATGGAAACCAGGTCCTGAGGCATGTGCACACAATTTCAGTAACAGTCTGACATGATAGACTTTCACACTGAGCAGGCACACCAACTGAAGATACTAGAGTGCATGTTTAATTCTCTTAAGTAATGTCTTCTGGCGATGCAAAGTGGCATGTAAATAAAAACAAACAGCAGTCAGTGGCCTGAAAAAGTACCTCACCAACTCTGCATGTTTTTCAAGCCACTGACTCCGGTTTATTTTTCTCCCACTCTGCATTTTGTTTAATGTCCATATAGAAATAAACGATATTGATATGACTATGAGAACAGCAGCAAAGTGAAACTGAGTTTACCTGCAATGGTAGATGGCCCAGAAAGCAAATAAGGTGAATGAACCTTCACTGTGCAGAAAATATGTTCTTTAGTTCAACTAGTGAAAATGTGGCCCAGGTTTAAAACGAGCAAGCAGCAACAAGTATGTTTTTTCTGTGTCAGGAGTGTTTCGGCGGTAGCTCAGTGTCCGTCCCTGAGATGGAGGGAGTGTTGTGGCTGAAAGAGGATGGGAAGAAGTCGTGGAAGAAACGCTACTTCCTGCTAAGGGCCTCTGGCATCTACTACGTCCCCAAGGGCAAAGCCAAGGTGTGTGTAATGAACAGAAAGTTTAACAGCAATGATTCTTTTAATTGTAAGACTGAAAAATGATACTGTGATTCTTGAACTTTAAACGTGTGTGTTTGTGTAGGCATCCAGAGACCTGGTGTGTTTTCTCCAGTTGGATCATGTTAACGTTTACCACGGCCAGGACTACAAGAGCAAGTACAAGGCTCCTACAGACTACTGCATGGTGCTGAAGGTACACACTCTCACACACACACACACACACACACACACACACACACACACACACACACACACACACACACACACACACACACACACACAAACCCACAAGTATCTTGAGGTTTGGGATAGATTACTACTGACCACTGGGTGGCACTGTTGTCCTACAGTGCCACCCAGTGGTGTGATGGAGTAGTTACACCTCTATTTCAAAGAAAATACAGAATCTATAACAACAGATAGAATAGTAATATATTTTATATAATATATATTAATAATAATACTACTAATAATTAGTAATATATATTTTTTAATGTATTAATACTGCAGAGGTTTGAATTTAATTTTAGACAATAAATATATTAGAAATACTAAGTGTGTTTGTAGTAGCATAAATGACTGGAGATGCAGTATTAGTACTAGTAGTAGTTGCAGTGTAAAACTACTATTAAACAGAAAATCCTGTAAACTAATACATAGTATGTGTGTGTAGCACCCTCAGATCCAGAAGACGTCGCAGTACATCAAGTACCTCTGCTGTGATGATGTCAGAACCCTCCAACAATGGATCAACAGTATTCGCATCGCCAAGGTAACAGCCTATTCAGGTGCAATGAAACCCTGCAGAATCAGACTGCTTCAGTGTAGTTAATCTGAGTGTCGTTATCGTCATGTTGTCTCTCTCTCTCCATCCATCAGTACGGGAAGCAGCTGTACATCAATTTCCAGGAGGCAATGAGGAGGACAGAGGCGGCCTATGATTGGTCTTCCCTATCGTCTTCCTCCATCAAGTCAGGATCCAGCTCCTCCAGCCTCCCAGGTCTGTCTGCCTGCTTGCTTTGGTTGTAGAGCTGCATCAAGAGAAGATTAGTTGGCAACTATTTTGATAACTGATTAATTGTTTCAGTCCATTTTCAAGCAAAAATGCCAAATATGTGATGGTCATTTCTCAAATGTGAGAATGTACCAACATGCTAACAAGACTGTTTGTAGGACAAAACAAAACATTTCAAGAGGCTTTTTGAAATCATGATGGAAATCTGTGACTTTTTTCTTCTGTTTTATAGTCTGATGATTATTCAAGAAAATAATCGTCAGACTGAACGATATTGAAAATAATAATTGGTTGCAGGTCTATTGGTGGAGTGAATTCTCTGGCAGGCTCAAAGGCCATGAATTAATATTAATTAGTCACAAACAGAATAAGCATAATTATCAGTAGTAAAAGTTAAACAAAACTTACTTCTTGTCCACACCTCAGAGTCCCAGTCCAACCACTCCAGCCAATCGGACAGTGGTGTTTCAGAGATGACGTCAACAGGCCACACCCGCTCCCAGAGTGTCGTCAGCTCCATCTTCTCTGATGCCTGGAGGAGAGGAACGCAAGGAGAGGTGTGAACACACACACACACACACACACTCCCACTCTATCCGATACTTTCCTGTCATTGTCCTGGTTTACCTGTGGACTACTTTTCCCACGTTTCCCCTCTGCTTCCCTGCCAGCGGTCAAAGGTGAAGGGACGTATGCCAGTTCCTCTTTGTGCAGGAGGAGGAGGAGGGAGTGGAGGTTAGACAGGAAGTGATGTAACAGGCATGTTAACAGTTTGGCTGCAGCCTTTAAAACTCGACTGCTGTTTGTGTTGGTTGTTTGAAGTAACCTCGTTTTAAACTAGTTAAACTAAAACTGATTTAATTATAATAATAAAACCAATTAATTTTAGTATATGTCTTATAGTAACAATGCTTTCTGCAGGTCATTTGATGATAAAGATCTAGCAGGCAATATAAATTTGCTTTTCTTTGTTGAAAGACAACTACTGTGATTAAATATTTTCCCTAGTATTTTTGTCTAAAAAAAAAACATATATAAAAAATTGTTAAAAAGCTATTGAATAGTTGACTGTATGTCTGGTGTTGCTCTTAACCTTGTGGGTATTTACACCTACTGATGTTGTAAATAAAATCACGATGAACTAAGACTTGTGGTTGTTGATCATCACATGCTCATCAACCATGATCCCAAGCAAAAATCATCGGTTTGTTGCATATAATGCATATGTATGTCAGGTTTAACCCAATTTTGATGTGAATTTATACATAAAACTCCTGTATGAAAATGTGAGCTGTCTAGTATACTGTCTACTGAATCCCTGTTTTTAGATGGCTTCATTTGAACGGTTGATTTGTTCTAACTTCGTGGTGTGATGGAATGTCCTAACCAACAAATAACGTAAAAGAAATTGACACTGTTTATTTTATGCCTTACTATACTATGAAATTTTTTGACCTTTTTATGCCTTAGTATACTATGACATTTTATGCCTATCTATACTATGACGATTTTTGACCTTTTTATACATTGCTATACTATGACATTTTATACCTTACTATACTATGACATTCTGTGCCTTACTATACTATGACATTTTATGCCTTACTATACTATGACGATTTTTGACCTTTTTATGCGTTACTATACTATTTACTGACTATACTACTTACTATACTATGACATTTTTTGACCTTTTTATGCCTTGCTATACTATGAAGTTTTTTGATCTTTTTACACCTTACTATACTATGACATTTTATGCCTTTCTATACTATGACAATTTTTGACCTTTTTATGTCTTACTATACTATGACGATTTGTTACCTTTTTATGCCTTACTATACTATGACGTTTTTTTAACCTTTTTATGCCTTACTATACTATGATGTTTTTTGACCTTTTTATGCCTTACTATACTATGACATTTTATGCCTTTCTATACTATGACAATTTTTGACCTTTTTATGTCTTACTATACTATGACGATTTTTTACCTTTTCATGCCTCACTATACTATGATGTTTTTAGACCTTTTTATACCTTACTATACTATGAAATTTTATGCCTTACTATACTATAACGATTTTTGACCTTTTTATGCCTTACTATACTATGACATTTTATGCCTATTTATACTATGAAAATTTTTGACCTTTTTATGCCTTGCTATACTATGATGTTTTTAGACCTTTTTATGCCTTACTATACTATGACGTTTTTTACCCTTTTTATACCTTACTATACTATGACGTTTTTTGACCCTTTAAGCCTTGCTATACTATGACGTTTTTTGATCTTTTTATGCCTTACTATACTATGACGATTTTTGACCTTTTTATGCCTTACTATACTATGACGTTTTATGCCTATTTATACTATGAAAATTTTTGACCTTTTTATGCCTTGCTATACTATGACGATTTTTGACCTTTTTATGCCTTACTATACTATGACATTTTATGTCTTACTATACTATGAAAATTTTTTACCTTTTTATGCCTTACTATACTATGACGTTTTTTTTTACCTTTTTATGCCTTACTATACTATGACGATTTTTGACCTTTTTATGCCCTACTATACTATGACATTTTATGCCTTACTATACTATGACCATTTTTTACCTTTTTATGCCTTACTACACGATGGGATTTTATGCCTTACTATACTATGATGTTTTTAGACCTTTTTTATGCCTTACTATACTATGACATTCTATGCCTTACTATACTATGACATTTTATGCCTATCTATACTATGACATTTTTTGACCTTTTTTATGCCTTACTATACTATGACGTTTTTTTTTACCTTTTTATGCCTTACTATACTATGACACTTTTTGACCTTTTTATGCCTTGCTATACTATGACGTTTTTTGATCTTTTTATACCTTACTATACAATGACTTTTTATGCCTATCTATACTATGACATTTTTAGACCTTTTTATGCCTTACTATACTATGACATTTTATGCCTTTCTACACTATGACAATTTTTGACCTTTTTATGCCTTACTATACTATGACATTTTATGCCTTGCTATAATGACGATTTTTGACCTTTTTTATGCCTTACTATACTATGACATTTTATGTCTTACTATACTATGAACATTTTTTACCTTTTTATGCCTTACTATACTGTGACGTTTTTTTTTACCTTTTTATGCCTTACTATACTATGGCGATTTTTGACCTTTTTATGCCCTACTATACTATGACATTTTATGCCTTACTATACTATGACCATTTTTTACCTTTTTATGCCTTACTACACGATGGGATTTTATGCCTTACTATACTATGACATTTTTTGACCCTTTTATGCCTCACTATACTACGATGTTTTTAGACCTTTTTATGCCTTACTATACTATGACGTTTTTTACCCTTTTTATACCTTACTATACTATGAAATTTTATGCCTTACTATACTATGACAATTTTTGACCTTTTTATGCCTTACTATACTATGACATTCTATGCCTTACTATCCTATGATATTTTTTGACCTTTTTATGCCGTACTATACTATGACGTTTTTTGACCCTTTAAGCCTTGCTATACTATGACGTTTTTTGATCTTTTTATGCCTTACTATACTATGACATTCTATGCCTTACTATCCTATGATATTTTTTGACCTTTTTATGCCTTGCTATACTATGACGTTTTTTGATCTTTTTACACCTTACTATACTGACATTTTATGCCTTACTATACTATGACGATTTGTTACCTTTTTATGCCTTACTATACTATGATGTTTTTTAACCTTTTTATGCCTTACTATACTATGATGTTTTTAGACGTTTTTATGACTTACTATACTATGACATTTTTAGACCTTTTTATGCCTTACTATACTATGATGTTTTTAGACGTTTTTATGACTTACTATACTATGACATTTTTAGACCTTTTTATGCCTTACTATACTATGATGTTTTTAGACGTTTTTATGACTTACTATACTATGACATTTTTAGACCTTTTTATGCCTTACTATACTATGATGTTTTTAGACGTTTTTATGACTTACTATACTATGACATTTTTAGACCTTTTTATGCCTTACTATACTATGATGTTTTTAGACGTTTTTATGACTTACTATACTATGACATTTTTAGACCTTTTTATGCCTTACTATACTATGATGTTTTTAGACCTTTTTATACCTTACAATACTATGAAATTTTATGCCTTACTATACTATGAAAATGTTTGACCTTTTTTATGCCTTACTATACTATGACGTTTTTTTTTACCTTTTTATGCCTTACTATACTATGACACATTTTGACCTTTTTATGCCTTGCTATACTATGACGTTTTTTGATCTTTTTATACCTTACTATACAGTGACTTTTTATGCCTATCTATACTATGACGATTTTTTACCTTTTTATGCCTTACTATAGAATGACATTTTATGTCTTACTATACTATGAAAATTTTTGACCTTTTTATGCCTTACTATACTATGACATTTTATGCCTATTTATACTATGACGATTTTTTACCTTTTTATGCCTTACTATAGAATGACATTTTATGTCTTACTATACTATGAAAATTTTTGACCTTTTTATGCCTTACTATACTATGACATTTTATGCCTATTTATACTATGAAAATTTTTGACCTTTTTTATGCCTTACTATACTATGACGTTTTTTTTTACCTTTTTATGCCTTACTATACTATGACACTTTTTGACCTTTTTATGCCTTGCTATACTATGACGTTTTTTGATCTTTTTATACCTTACTATACAATGACTTTTTATGCCTATCTATACTATGACGTTTTTTTTTTACCTTTTTATGCCTTACTATACTATGACGATTTTTGACCTTTTTATGCCCTACTATACTATGACATTTTTTGCCTTACTATACTATGACGATTTTTGACTTTTTTTTGCCTTACTATACTATGATGTTTTTTAAACCTTTTTATGCCTTACTATACTATGACATTTTACGCCTATTTATACTATAAAAATTTTTGACCTTTTTATGCCTTACTATACTATGACATTTTTTGCCTATTTATACTATGAAAATTTTTGACCTTTTTATTCCTTGCTATACTATGACGTTTTTTTTTTTGCCTTTTTATGCCTTACTATACTAGGACGATTTTTGACCCTTTAAGCCTTGCTATACTATGACGTTTTTTTTACCTTTTTATGCCTTACTATACTATGACGATTTTTGACCTTTTTAAGCCTTACTATACTATGACATTTTATGCCTTACTATACTGTGACCATTTTTTACCTTTTTATGCCTTACTATACTATGACCATTTTTTACCTTTTTATGCCTTACTATACCATGATGATTTTTGACCTTTTTATGCCTTACTGCACGATGGCATTTTATGCCTTACTATACTATGACATTCTATGCCTTACTATACTATGACATTTTATGCCTATCTATACTATGACATTTTTTTACCTTTTTATGCCATACTATACTATGATGTTTTTTAACTTTTTTATGCCTTACTATACTATGACGATTTTTGACCTTTTTACGC